ACTGTATAAAAGTTGATATTTTTCTCCAGATTCTGGCTAATTTTGACCCGCATGCATTAATAATCATATATTCACATAGAAACACACATGCAGGGAGCCTTGTCCTGTTTCTAGAAGTTTTAATTTGCACAGAAATATGAACTGAGATGCGGGTTGCTACTCTAGGGACAAAAAAACAAGATTTACATGACTTTAATGCATGACATTGTGGTATTAGTGGATGCATCTCAAACCCCAGAATCTGCTCATGCTCAAGGGCATGAAACACAGTTGAAATCCACACATTTTAATGGCATGCAGTGCATTAGTTCCCATCATTTCAGAGGTAATAACCAACTAAATATTTTGCTTAAAGCAGAACTCTGTGTTTTATTATGCAGCTCTATCGCCAACAAACATGCAAACTCTACCACAAAGAAAGGTCCTTCTACAACCAGCAGCTCTTCACTTCTGAGTTTTCTGTCCTGATTTACTCTCTGATTCACATTAATTCTTTTTAAATTAGCAGCTCAATAATTTGAAGGAGGATAGCTAGATGATATAATATTCTATGCAACGTAGCTCTTTGCTTCAGGCTGAGACCAATCACTTTACCTTCGTTTCCGGCAGCGTTAGAAACTCGCTTTGATTGTAAGGGATAAATGGTTACTGGTTTCACTGAACAGCACAGTGGTGGGAAAGGATTAGTGTAATTAGAATTAAAGCCAACAGATTCATATTTAATCCGAATTTGGTTCTATTTAAATCTGATCTATCCGACAGCTGAGGTCAAAATATTGGACTGTTGGTCTTTGGTAGACCCGCTTTGCCTCAGACTCTTAAACAAATAAGAAACTTTGATATTTACAATATAGCTTTATTTAAATCTCCATAAAACCATTTTGAACATTGTCTTTTCTGATAAAAGCATCATATTGTGACTGCAAGATGCACACTGTAAAGCTCATTTGTTATTCAGACAATGTTCTATTTCAATGCAAACAGAAATATACGTAGAGGATTTTCATAATTTTATGTATTTATTAAAATGTTAATTCTGCCTGATTTAAGGACACCGCGAAAATAAAATATTTTAGAGATTCTGTGTCTTGGAAGGTAATTATTACAATCATTATAGCAAAGATTAACCAGTCAACAGGTATCTGTGTGTTGATTGGTCAGTTCATGTATGTACTAATGTAGAATCGGTGTATTTGCATCTAGATTGTACTTTTTATTGAAATGTAAGTTGTATGGTGATTTGTAATGACCCTAAAGAGGGCCACAAGCTGAAATCTGTCTGCAAACAAAGTTTGTTCCAATACTTCAAAGGTTGCTGAAGTTTTCACCTTAACAGTCCATTGACCTTCTTCTTCACTTTAGAAGTTGTTGAAATTATGTCAGAGACTTTCAGATGTCTCAATGAAAGTCTGTTGTGATATATCCCAGTTCAAATATAAAGCATGTTAGGAAATATTTTCAATCAGCTTGGATCACATCACTGAAACAGAACTCCATTAGAGTTTCACCATTTCTTTTTCTTTGATCAACTCTGATCTTAAACTCTTAAATCTAAAACATGATTTTTCTTTTTATTAAACACATTGAAGCTTAAACTCCCATAAATACAGTTTTAAACACAGCAAGTACTTTGATGCATTTCTTTTAAGTGAAATAAGAATCCAATAAAAAAACTCAGATTTATGCTTAGATACTTAATGTGAGATAATCATGTTGGATTCAAAAAGACTGCCTGTATCAAACAACATTTAAAACTGTTTTTCCACTTTGTGTGAAGGCCTTAGAAACTTAAATAAAAATTTGGAAATCCCTTCAAAATTATTAGCAGCACTGAGGGGTTTGAAACCTAACAGGTGATGCAAGCATAGTTTACCTTTCCAACAATTATGAACTAAACTACCGTAAAGATATATTTCCACCTTAAATGTATAGTAGAGGATTTTCTTTTTTCCGGATGGATCATCTAAATAAGTGGTCCTCCTAATTGTCAATCATTCTGATGATATGTTTACGTAAGGCCGTCCTTCGTGCTCGTCCACAGTTTGCCATCTTTTTCTGCGCATGCACACTCTCAGTCGTATATGTCTGAGCTACAGTTTCAGCCATTGAAGCTCACCTTTCTCGACGCGGTTCTTTGAAAATGGCCGAGAGTCATGAGAAAAAAAGGGTCTACCGAGTGCATGAGAAGAAGAGAAAGGCCTCAGAAGAGAGAAACAAGACCAGAGTGTTTTTTCGGGAGATTCTTTCACGCGATGGCGTTCACTGAAAGCACAGGTCCTGCTTCCCACATATGCCTCGGTTGCAAAGTTTCTACTTGACAGGTAAAGCTTGGCATGCTATCTGGAGACATCCATTTCATATCACCGCTGGTAAAATGAGGAGAAATGGGCTCCTGCATGCTCTCACAAACGTGGGTTGTGCATGTGTTTTTTTTTAAGTGGCGGGTCTTTTAAAAAATTTGCAAAAATCCTCCATTATACCTTTAAACCACCTGGTAACCTTTTTTGGTAGGTTTTGAAATGTCCTTAACTTGATGGGCGAAAATCAAGCAAAACCTGGTCCTTACAATGACAGTGTTTTAATGACACATACATTAAGACTTAGGCCTGATGTTGTGGTTACCGTTATCTCTATCATCAGTCACAAAATCAGCCCAAGAACCCCGCAGATGGGGCTCTGTCCTTCTGTGTGTGGGTATATGTTTCAAATGAGGATCATTCCAGCAGCAGAATTGCTTACTGTCATTCATGTCCTGTACACGCGTGCACACGCCCCCAGACACAGATCAGGCTTTATTAAAACGTCACCTTGTGTGAATCTGCTGTGAGCCATCATGCTGTCTGCTGTGAATGGGGAAAGGCTGCGTATTTACAGTGAATTGTAAATCGTGCCGAGCATTCAGCTGTCAGAGTCTTATGAATTGCTAATATGCTGTATCTCGCACCGCTGATTCCCCGCTATCTGGCCCCCCATCACCTCCATTGTGCGCTGGGAACAGAGCGGCAGGGATTCAGAGAAGCTAACTCTGCTGAAGGCAAATAAAACACAGGGATGAAGGAATCAGGGTGCGTCAGATGGATATTTACATAAGTGTCAGTCGCAACCTTTAAAATTAAGTCCTTAACTTTTAGAAGTCGTATTAGAGGTTATCTTTTATACAGTTTTAAATTCTACTCACTTTATTTCTCATCTTTGATCCTGCATAAGTGCGTCCTGTATCTGTCAGCAGTCACCAGTTATCCCTGCTGTCTGATTCAAAGAGGTGTTTATATTTTTTAATTAATTACATTATCAATTAACTGGGATTACGTTTATGTATTTATCTGCTCCTGTCCTAAAACAGTCTAAATTTTTTCCTCTATCAAAGTTCAACTCTTCTTTTTTTTTCTTTTATAGGACTACACACAGTTTAACCAAAAACCTTTACTGTTTGTTTTAATCAATCCTTGTGCTGTATTAATCCTCTTCATATTCAGTAATTCATCCCATGCTTCCATCCACATCAAGTCTTTGACTTCAAGCTTTCCTCTCTTCTCCTGATTCTAATCTCAATTAGCCTGAAGGTTCATCTTCTGCTCACTTTATTTTAGTTCAAAACTTAAGAAGAAATTATTTAATGCATAAATGGAGATACATTTGAATTTTCCATTTATATAGAGAAAATTTATATTTATATTTTATACCTGTCCTTTGTTTCTCACAATATTCTCTAAACATCGGTGTTCAAGAGATACATTTTCCAGAAGTGTTTATGTTTGCATTACAAAGATGTTAGGAATCCTGTGCATTAAGAAGGATCATCAAATATGCCTGAGCAGAAAATGTATGGTTGATACCTCAGAGTATTTATCGGCTTGAGGTCATGATCGGCTCTGATTGGTGACTGGAACACCAAGTACTGCTAACCTGAATTTTTCTTGCATTTCTATTCGATAAATTCAAGAAAACTAATAACTACCACTATTTATGGTATGTTAAGGCTTTGACCACCAGCATGTACTTTGATAGCCTGTTTGAGATTTTTCCTTTGCTGTTCGAATTGCTAGAGATTTCTCAGAAGAATTTCTCCCTTTCGTATATTTTAGTTGTTGAGGAAAAGAATCAAAACCAACAGATCAGATTTAAAGCAAATAGAAATTGGCAATGAAAAGCCTGATTGGTGCATCGCTCTAGTCCTACATCAATATTTTTCACACTCTTTTTTCTCTGTTAAGCTTCGATCTACCAACAGGTTGCACATTCAACCAAAATATGCTTTTTAACAAAATGAAATAAACTTCCTCCTCATCACAAATGTATATTCAGAGTGATGCCCAGATACAGGCGTGCATATAGGTGGAGATCTCTCCAATCACTGCTGGACTTGAACTGTCGCCAGACATTTGTTCAGGGTGACAAATGAGGCGCTATAAAAACACGAGCTTGAGAGAACACGCTCGTCCTCACACACCCTCCATCAAGACAAACAGCTGGAAGCGAATGAGAAGAAACCGGAAAGTATCCCCGTATGCCGAGGGAAAATCGCCTCCATGCAGTAACACACATGGTGCAGGGAGGATGCAAACTGCAGCAGGTGGAAGATCGAGTATTCTGTGAATCTGTATGTATGATCAGAATGTGATGGTAGTAAAGGAGGACAGATATACTGCTCTTCATCCCAGGAAACAGTTTGCACACAGATCTTACTGAGGATCAGTCACACACCGGTATGTTTAAACTACACTTTCTCATCTGCAGCACATTTAAGTTCAAGCTTTGGAGACGGAAAAGTAAAAAGTCTGGTGATGTGAGATGAAAGTGGTCAGAAGAGAAGAAATATGGCAATGTTGAGGAAGAACTGAAAGGATGAAAAGGATAGAAGCAGGAAAACAGACTGATAGTAAGAAGAGGAGACGATCCCGTTTCAAAGGCAACACATGAAAAGAGCGAGAGATGAGAAGAACTGATGATGAGCAGAGGAGGAGGAGAAGAGGGAGAGGACAACAGTTTTTACTACTTACAGAATCTCCAGATCGCGCAGCGCTCGGAAAGCTCCATCTTCGATGCAGCTGATGTGGTTGCTGTCCAGTTGCCTGCAGCATGCATACACACACAGACAGACGGACAGACACACACACACACAGAGAAAGATGGGAGAGAGTCAGATGTGGGTCTGCAGGGTCCGCTCAGCCTCAGCCGGGGGAGGGACTATTATGAGATGCGTTGCATGAATGCGTTTGTGGCTATGATTGAAGGTGATACCCCCGCAGTGGGTTAAAGCAGCAGGTAGGAGACCCCGGCAGCGAGGCACCCAGCCCACACACTCCTGCAGACACACACTCAGGGGAAACTAGTCCAGGCAGGCAGAGGTGAAGCAGCTCACCTCCAGCAGATGTGACCGGCCCCGAGGAGAGGAGGAGCAGAAAAGAAGAGCAGGAGAGAGGAGACCGGTGTGCTGAAGTGGCCTGCCTGCCATCAGCCTATCACCTCCCTCCCCCGCCGCCCACTGGCCACCAGGAGAGAGAGGGGCGAGAGAGGCAGGCACTGAGAGGGAGAGAGCGAGGGCCACTAAAGCCCACCCTGCTTGTCTCTTCTGTAAATATTAATTGCATTTCTGCTCTCCCATCCTCCTCCCTCCTCGTCCTCTTTTATTCTTCTTTCCTCTTTCTGTAGTGAAAGAGGGAGTAATTTCATTACATTAGGCCAGCCAATCCATTAAGGGCCTTTTACCGGCTCTGTCACTGAAACAATTTCATTAAAAGGAAAGCCTCCGTAAATCATGCTACAGTCACGACTCCGCAGCTCGTTCCCGCTCTCCTTCCTTCCTCCAGCAGTACCTTCATCCTCCTCCTTTGGCTTGCTCAACCGCTTGGTTGCAGCTCTCCACATGCACCCTGTACCCCACCGTCATTCATCTTTTGCTTTTACTTTAATTTGCTTAGCTTGAGGTATTCAACCCCCCCATCCATCTCTCATGAACCCAACAACCCTAAAACCCCCCACCCCACCCCTTTCCTTTCCATTACTCCAATCCATCTACCCATCTGTCCCTCCAACCCCCCAGAGCCTAGTGGTTGTTAGAGGAAGATGTTGCCTCTTACACATTTCTGAAAACCTCAGGACGCAAATCAAGTGTACCTGGTTTCCAACCTACTGGTTCCAACCTGCAGGTTCATGTGGATATGCTTTCTGAAAGTGAAACACTGAACTTTTACTCTGAGGATGCCTTTGACCTCTACTTTCTCTTTCTTCAGAAAACAATGCTCCGATGATGAGCCTCTCAGGGCTCTAACATGATTAACCAGTAAACTGTTGCAGACGCAGAACGTCAGGAGGAAAAAAACAAAAGTGCAGAAATTCACTGAATCAATGGAAGAAAACAGGAACTGGTTGATCTGCTTGTTGTAGGTCTATTCTCTAGAAACAGGAATATAAAAGAGTATCATTCCACCTTCATCTCTTTCTCCTGCTGATACGTCCGCCACTAATCCCCTTTTCTTTGACTTCTGTCTTATTTCCTTTTCTATCCTCATCTCTCTGCATTCATCCTCCTCATTTTTATCTCCTGCCTCTCCATTCATAATCCCCTTTTCCCCCTCCTGTGTCTTCTTTTCTCATCTTTGATTCCTCTTCACATTCCCTCCTCTCATACCCCATCTATCCATTGTTAATCCATATTCTTCTTCCCTTGTTCTCTTTTATCAGCCTTTTAAATCTCCGGTTCCTTTTCTCCTGAGCTCTGCCTTCTGCAGCACCTGTTATATCAGTCATGTCAGCTTTTATCCTCAGGATGCTCCCCTTGCAGCAGAAGCTGCTTTACTTTAAAAGAAAGCAGAAATTAGCTGTGCTCCTTTGTATCTAATGATTGCAGGTTTGTAACAAATTGCTGTTGACATGCTGAGCTCATTTCTGGAGGCCCCTTTAAAGGGTCTTATAAGGCTAAAGGTCTAGTCAAAGTAAACTCTTTTCCACATCAGTGGAAATCGGTCTATAAACATGAGGGGAATATTTAGGACATAGGCAACAGTTTACACAAAACTGGACCAGAACCTGTTGAACATGGTTTGGCTCAGTGGCTTAAGCTGGTGGTGGTTAAAATGGGAGACGTTCACCACTTTGCATACCACTGCTGACAATTTCACCCCCTTTATGACCACAGGGAATCCATGTTCTGATGCTTCCAGCAGGATAAAGCTGTGTCTCACAGAGATCAGACCATTTTGCAGCAGTTTCTAGAAGATCTCCATTCTCCAATGACCTCCAAGGACTCCAAATCTCCACCCAAAAGAGAACCTATAGGATGTGGTAGAGCAGGAGGTTCCCATCATGGATGTTCAGCAGCAGCTGAGAGATGCCATCATGTTGAATGGTTCTGACATATGAAGACTATGCCAAGAAGAATTAAGGAGGTGCTGAGTGCAAAAGGAGGCCTAACCAGGTACATGGATCTAATAAAATCGACATTTTCTTTTCTTCTTACCCAACCTGAAAGTATTCACACTCACTGGCAAGACTTCTATCATCCGCAGAAAACTGCAGTTTTCATTTTTTGGTCATTATTTCTCTGAGAGCCTGTTTCATGTCTGCCTGAGCAGCTGCTAGCGGTTAACAGTTGGCAGGAACCGGGTTTGGACTCAAGAGAGTAAACCATTGGATGCCAAAAAATTCAGGTTTAGCTAGAAATGTAATTATGTTCCACCGTCTTTAAACTGAAGAGCTGCTTTGATGGGGTACAAGCAGAGTTAGAAAGTTGTTCATAGAAGGATTCCAGCAAATATCTGGATGGATGGCTGAATCGTCAGAGCTCGAGCTGGTTTCCTATAGTTAGGAGGGGTTCTATAGAGTTGGAGATCTTTCGCTTTGTGCCCACTTGTTGCCGCAGAGTTGCAGGTAAAGGCATCTGTCAGGCGATTGGAGTCAAAACCAGTGAGTGGATCTGGTACTTGAAACATAGGGTTCCACCATATTTATGTTTTATCTAATTAAAATGCTGCTTTTAGGCTGCAAAAACAGCCTGAGCAGAGATACAGATGGCAGGTTCTGTTTTCACATGTCTTGCTTTTATTTGTATGAAGACAGGTGGGTGTTATGTCTGAAGGGCCAAAGTGTTGAGGTTAAAGTAAGAAAAGGTGCATCTAAGGTCCCATCTTTATGATCTGACCTCTACTGTTTGCTCCACCTGCTGTTTCAGCTGCTTGAACTTTTGGGTAGGAGTGAGTTGTGTTTGCATGAATAACTCTGAACATTGCTCCACATTTACTGATGTTAGAATCGGCTTACTGTTGAAATATTTAAAATCAGCCTCATTTTCCAGAGGATTCTTCCCTTAGTATAATCTCTACAGGCAGGCATGTGACAAACCATCACTGAGGAAAAATGTTTACCTAATATTTAAGCAAAAATTTAAACTGCCATATGTGTAATGCAGCAGGCTTTTTCTAACCAATCACTTGCAATAGAGTTTAATAAAAAAATAATAAGACAAGCAAAGAGGTGCATAAATATGTAAATTGGTTGATGCGCAGCTTCTTGCAGCAAAAGCAGATTTTCAGACTCAGAGCTTGGCCACTTGCAGCATGGCTTGGAAGCTTAAAATGTAATGGGACTGGTGCTCAAAATACTTAAAAAATGCACCAGATAGCTGACACAAGTTGCATGATCTCTCAATGCCCCTTGATGTTCATTAACCACATTAACTGGCTACCCATGATGCTCAAAATACCGGTATGTTAGTTGTGAACACAGCGTAGACTAGAACATAATCACCATGTGGAGAAAAAAATGAATCCAGGGGTTTCCTTCTTTATGAGGTCCCTGTGAACTTTTCACTGGCAGGAGAACCCTAGAGATAAAGGTTATGTTGGAGGGACTAAATATTCCTTGTAAACTGGGAAAGCTCGGAGATCCCCTCAGATGAACTGGAGGGTCTCATCTGGGTGAGAAATGTCTAGGTTACCATGGATGGATGTAACCACAGCAAACTGACTTCAGATAAGAAGATGGATGGATGGATGGATGGATGAATGGATGGATGGATGGATGGATGGACGGACGGATGGACGGATGGATGGACGGATGGATGGATGGTTTAAAGATTTAAAACCCTTGGTAGACCAGCATCTAGAGGCCTGGCCTTCTTATTTGAATATCAGACTCTTTAGTTAACTAGCATATGAAGGATAAGTGGTCTTGAATATCAGGTGGTCTTGGAATGTTACAAAATATGAGAGACCTAAACATTATTTAGTTTTCCTCTTCACCCACTGCTTTGCACATTGGGCAAACATGTCAGGTTCCTTTTATCAAAGCTTGGCTCATGGTGGCTTTCTTCCATACAGGGTTAGCTGCTTTTCTGATCAAGGCTCTCCTTGTTCAGGCTGTCATACCAGCTGAACGTCCATGTATTTTGCAGGTATGCAGTTGGTCTATCCTCTCTATGCTCGTGTGACAGAGCTCCTCTTTTCACTAAGGGCATAACTTATTCCCCTTTCATTCCATAGAACTCAGTGTTGCTCAGTTTATCTTTCTCTATCCTAGATAAGGCCATCAGTGGAGCTCCTACCATTTTTTGTACCCTGTCATCTCAGGTTTGCTTTCCCATTGAAGTACACCTGTTTCAGTCTTGCTGGGTTTGTTCTGTCTCTGTTTGCCATGGTCAGTGGTTCACATAAGCCCATTCTAAGCCTGGTTCTAAAAGAAGGCTCCTTCTGTTAAAGTGGAGTCATTTCTTTCCACAGTCCCTAAAAGCTTGCTAAGGATGAGGGGTTGCTGAAGGTTAATGACTGGCTTGAGAGAGGTGGGTTTTCATCCTGGATAACTTCGTGGTAAATTTTATTGGATAAAATAACCTGAATGGGAATTATATGATTTTAATATGGTTGATAATTTATTACCTTATCTTATTTTTAAAAAGGCTTTGCAGGATATTTTATTTTTTAAATATAAATAAATGTCTCTAGGGAATGTCCTTATGGATCTTTTTTAATGTTCCTAACACACACATTTGATTTCCAGTATTTGAATTTTCCACTTTGTTTCCCTGTGGTTTTATCAGGAGCATTTAAGGCCTTCTGATTTCCAGCTGAGTGGATCT